CTCAAAATCCTTCTAATAGCTTTTATTTCCATACACATGCATTGGGAACACTACACATTCTATTCCAAATCAAAACATGAAGAAAAATGTATCAAATTTATGGTGTTCCTCTAAAAAAATTGAAGAAAAGTGAATATTAGACTGTTCAAAAAAAATAGCAGTGTTTGTATTCTTCTTTACAAACTCAAACATTCACTATATAAACTGAAAAAATGTTTGAAGATTTTGCTTTCCTTTGAATCACTTAATGAATATTTAGTTGTATAAGCACTGTTTCTGAGAACTGCTGTACATCTGTGTTGCATGGAGTCAACCAGCTTCTGGCACCTGTGAACAGGTATTCCAGCCCAGGATGATTGGACTACATTCCACAGTTCTCTATTTCTTGGTTTTGCCTCAGAAGCTGCATTTTTGATGTCACCCCACAAGTTTTCTATTGGATTAAGATCCAGGGATTGGGCTGGCCACTCCATAACGTCAATCTTGTTGGTCTGGAACCAAGATGTTGCACGTTTACTGGTGTGTTTAGGGTCGTTGTCTTGTTGGAACACCCATTTCAAGGGCATTTCCTCTTCAGCATAAGGCAGCATGACCTCTTCAAGTATTCTGATGTATTCAAACTGATCCATGATCCCTGGTATGCGATAAATAGGCCCAACACCGTAGTATGAGAAAACATCCTCATCATGATGCTTGCGCAACCATGCTTCACTGTCTGCACAGTGTACCGTGGCTTGAATTCAGTGTTTGGGGGTCGTCTGACAAACTGTCTCTGGCCACTAGACCCAAAAAAAACAATCTTACTTTCATCAGTCCACAAAATGTTGCGCCATTTCTCTTTAGGCCAGTCAATGTGCTCTTTGGCAAATTGTAACCTCTTCAGCACATGTCTTTTTTTCAGCAGTGGGACTTTGCGGGGGCTTCTTGCAGATAGCTTGGCTTCACATAGGCATCTTCTAATTGTAAGAGTACTCACAGGTAACTTTAGACCTTCTTTGATCTTCCTGGAGCTGATTGTTGGCTGAGTCCTTGCCGTTTTGGCTATTCTTCTATCCATTCGAATGGTAGTTTTTTCGCTTTCTTCCAGGTTTTGGTTGCCATTTTAAAGCATTTGCGATCATTTTAGCTGAGCAGCCTATCATTTTCTGCACTTCTTTATATGTTTTCCCCTCTCCAATCAACTGTTTAATCAAGGTACGCTGTTCTTCGGAACAATGTCTGGAACGACCCATTTTCCTCAGAATTTCAGAGAGAAATGCACTGTAACCAGCATGTACAACATTTGCTGCCTTCCTTCCTTAAATAAGGGCAATAATTGCCACCTGTTTTTCAAAGAATAAATGACCTCACTAATAGAACTCCACACTGCTATTATTTTGAACATGCCCCTTTCAATTAGTGATTCAATTACACAGAATCAGCAGCATGCATGTCATGACTGTTGGGTCTGTTGGATTTCTATTACTCTACTACACCTGCTAGTAAATTATTTGCCATGTAGAAATATCATTTCTACCAAAAACAGTGATTGATCAGGTTAGTGATGTCTGACTGCTATTATTTTGAACACAACTGTATGTATATATATATATATATATATATATATATATATACATACATATACTGTATATTGCCAAAAGTATTGGGATGTCTGCCTTTACACACACATGAATTTTTAATGGAATCCCAGTCTTAGTCCGTAGGGTTCAATATTGAGTTGGCCCACCCTTTGCACCTATGACAAATTCAACTCTTCTGGGAAGGCTGTCCACAAGGTTTAGTAGTGTGTCTATGAAAATGTTTGACCATTCTTCCAGAAGCGCATTTGTGAGGTCGGGAACTAATGTCGAACGAGAAGGCCTAGCTGGCACTCGTCTGCACTCTAATTCATCCCAAATGTGTTCTACCGGGTTGAGATCTGGACTCTGTGCAGGCCAATCATGTTCCTCCACCCCAAACTTGCTCATCCATGTCTTTATGGACCTTGCTTTGTGCACTGGTGTGCAGTCATGCTGGAACAGGAAGGGACTATCCCCAAACTGTTCCCACAAAGTTGGGAGCATGAAATTGTCCGAAATGTCTTGGTATGTTGACGCCTTGTGGCATCCAGTGGCGGCGTGCTTTACACCACTGCATTCGATGCTTTGCCTTGCACTTAGCGATGTGAGGCTTGGACACTCCTGCTCAGCCATGAAAACCCATTCCATGAAACTCTCTATGTTGTGCTAATCTGAAGGAGGTCTTTAGCCATTGACTCAGACAGCGCTTTCTTCGCACTGTGCATTTCAGCATGCGCTGACCCTGCTTTGTCATTTTTCGTGGCCTACCACTTCATGGCTAAGCTGCGGTTGTTTCCAGTTGCTTCCACTTTGTTATAATACCACTAACAGTTGAACGTGGAATATTTAGTGGCAAGGAAATTTCACAGATGGACTTATTGCATAGGTGGTAGCCTATCATGGTACCTTTCTTGAATTCACTGAGCTCCTGAGAGCGACCCATTCTTTCACAAATGTTTGTAGAAGCAGTCTGCATGCCTAGGTGCTTGATTATATACACCTGTGGCCATGGAGGTGATTAGAACACCTGAATCCAATGATTTGGAGGGGTGTCCCAATACTTTTGGCCATATAGGCTGGCCATACATTATACAATTATCTGCAGATTTTCTGCCCAATTTCCTTTAGATTTACCTTCAACTATGTAGTGCAAGGGCCTGCCTAATTGGATACAACAAAGTGTTGTTTAGGTTTGTCCTCCTATTATATGGTTTTTGGTAAATCTAAACCAAAAATCTGCAGATAATTGTATAATGTATGGCCAGCCATAGTGTATATTGTTTCTTTTTATCTTTATCCTATCTGTGAGTTGATGGCTGGCTGCTTTATACTGGAGGAGACCTGGCTGTTCCTAGTGAGGGGGATGTCATCTACCTGAGCAGGTGTCCATTACCAGTGAAGATTCCTGGCTTCAAATAACAAAAGCGTTTTGGCCCTTTGAGGGTCGCATCAAGGTGAGGTGAGGGGGCATTTTAGCCACATACAGATTATTTTCCGTCGGTGGTGATGCACATCCACAATATCACCTGCACTTAGGAGTAATTGGAAAGTTTTTGGTGTATATGCACCTATTTGGACTTGGTTGTTTTAAGTTTTTTTTTATTTTTTTTTTCATTTTCGTTTTTTTTTTTTTTGTTTACGGACTATTATATGTTCACCTATTATTTTTTTTTTTATGTGTTTGCTCATAAAAATTATTTTTGTATGTGTGTTTTTTGGCAATATTGTATTTAATTGATCCCACATATAGGGATCTATTTGATGTCACTATTTACTTTTTGGCTTAATTTAGCCATTATTTGTCACGATCTGCATGATATTGTTGATCCCTGTTAGGGGTTCACGTTTTCATTTTCACCAGCATTTGCATGAATTTATTGATCCCTATTTAGGGATTCACGCCTATTTGTGTTTTATTTTATTTTGTGTATGATCCTATTTTGGATATTGGGGGTATTGGTTCCTGGTGTTTTATACCAGGTGTGATCACTTTTTCACTTGAGATCCCAGAGAGGATCAATCCACTGATTTATTGGCACGTATACATATTTCATGTCACTTTATATTGAGATCCCCAGAGAGGATCAATCCACTGATTTTTTTTGTCACATATATATATTTATGTCACTTTGTTTGTTTTTGCCATATTGTATTATTTTATTATTAGGGTAGCACTGCATCATTTTGGTTTTGTTAGTTTTTATTTCTACATGGTATATGGTTAGGTGCTAGCAGCTCCCACTCACTTAATTTATCACGTAATAGTAGCGCAGGAGATCTTCATTATTTTATAATAGTGTATATGGATAGATAAATAGATAGATCTATGCAGTGCTTAAGAAATTTCCTATACAGATACAAAAATAAATCAAAATGGTAAAAAGTCCAACGTATCATCAGTGAAAGTATTCAAGCTTCACAGCTTCCACCAATGAATTCATATTAACACAACAAAATACAGCACATAGTACAATGTTGGTGTGATCTTCTCCATTGGATCATAAACATATGTGCAACACCATGTGTCCTCCACCAACCACTGTGAGGCTTATCAGAGAGGGTATAACTCTTACATGAGAAGTCAAGCAGCACTTGTTGCCATCATTGCAGTAAACCACCACAGGACTCTCCCTCCCCTCCATCTTGGTCAGAGTCAGGTCATAAGACATGAAAAAGAGCCAAACACCGCTCCAAATAGTGTTAATCCAGCGGGCACTTTTATTCATATCAGTTACAAACACTTACATAGACACTGTGTATACTAATCCATGCGATGATGTCATGACTTCTGGCTCCGCCCAATGCGTTTCATCAAATATAACGTCAACAGGGGCATCGCTGACAGAGATGGAAGGGAAAACAGTTCTGTGAGATGGTGAGTCCTGCGGTGGTTTACTACAATTATGGCAACATACGCTGTTTGACTTCCCATGTAAGAGTCCTACCCTCCTGGTAAGCCTTAGAGTGGTTGGTGGAAGACACGTGGTGTTACTCATATGTTTATGAACCAGTGAAGAAGATCACACTATTATTGTACTATGTGCTGCATTTTGTTGGTTTCACTATGAATTCGCTGGTGGAAGCTGTGAACTTGAATACTTTCACTGATTATACTTTGGTCTTTTTATTACCATTTTCATGTATATATAGCTCCAGTGGGATATGATTAACTGATGTTTACAGGACAGAAAATATCTTAAAATGGTCACAGAGAATGTCCAGAGATGCAAGCGCTTACATGATGATAAAAGGTCCAGCGATGCAAGCGCTTACATGATGATAAAAGCCACTGCTGGTAGTGTTTAGTTAAGTGACCCAAAGGGGGCCAGGTGCAGGAAATGATCCCCATGATACTAAGTGGTACATATAAAATAGGAGTATGTAATATGAATTTGCATGGTTGAGAAGATAAAAAAAAATAAATTCACTTTTATGGTTTAGCCTTTAGGAGCAAGTGACTACCTGGAAATGTGCAAGAAATTTGACACAGTATTTATCAGAAGAATTCCACATCTAGACATGGCAAAGCGCTCACAAGCTCGTCGTTTCATTACTCTCATTGATGCCTTCTATGATCACAAGGTACAGTAATTCAATTTGTCATTTACCGTATATACTGAATGAAATATATACATTTAGAAGCTTACATCTGTCCATTTATAATATTTTACTACAAGCAAAAGCCATTTGTTTGGTGAGAACACTTAAGACTAACAACTCAGGCTAACAACTAAAAATGTGTCTATTTTTGAATGGAAAGAAGTACCATATTAATTGAAATAGTCATTATATAGAATGGGATTACAGATAAGCCATTGTAGTAGAGACAATATAGAATGTGGAGGAGAACGAATCAGAGTAGTCTTGTTGTAAAGCTGAATGGGTGTAAGAAGCCTCCAGTGATTTTTTTTTATACTCTACTATATATACTGTATATATGCATACTGTGTATGCACTTTGCCATCATCTTTTTTTATGGTTTTGGTGCAGTTTCCGAAAGTGCATCAAAAGCCCTACATGCACCTATACTGTGACCAAAGTGCAGCAGGGCAGTGTGAAGCTGCCCTAAGGGCCATCTCACTTTTGACATGGATACTGAGAAATAATTAATGTGTTCTGGGGGCAGGCTATAGAAGGAGATCAATGAAGATGCTGAGGGTGGGATCTGAAGGCAGAATCCCCCATGTGAAATAAGTACTTGGGTTGAATATTGTATAGGATGTATTTGCATTATTCCGAATTGCTTTTTAGCTGATTACAAATAGTGAGGCAGAGTAACCACAACACTGTAATTTTAAATTGATTGCTGCCATGTATTGTTGAGTAAAAGCATTAAAGCAGGGTATACACTAGTAGAATTATGTTAAAAAATTTTTTTATCATAAGAATATTGTTAGAATGTTCATTCATTTTTCTAATCATTCATGGGGTCAAATCTATATTCATTTTCGAGCACAGTGATAATAAAATTGGATTGAGCTGTATGGAAAATTTTTCGCATATGTACAGATTTCTAACAGTGTATGTGGTTTTTCGTTCAGTAAAGTCCATTTATTCCAAAGTCTATGTTAAAAGCAAATTAAATCTTGAACTGCTTTCAAACGTAAATTGAATGTTTTGAGAACATTTGCACAAATTTTCACTTGAAACTCTGTTTAAACTCTGTGCGTATACACTGACTCTGTTTAAAAAGGAAGTTGCAGGGGTTGTTTTTTCTCTAAATATAAATACTAATATAGACATTCCAAGCTGGGGGGAATCACTCTTTGTTTTTAACCTGATGACCATTGGGAATGATGGAAAATCCAAAATATTACAGTTACCACTAGAACTTTAAGCAAGGGGGTATCTTTCAATGGGTACACCTGTTCTGGTGACAACTGTCATAAGGGGGATTTCCTCTTACTTCCTGGACAGAAAAAGAAGAGAAATCTCTTCAATGGGACAAGGACAACAAAAAAATCATTATGGGCTTTAAACATTTCTTTCTATATCAAACACATTTAAATGTTTTGGCTAAAGATACACTTTAAGAGTCCTTGCACTTGACACTGATGTATGAACACTAGATCTTCCTGGCAGAAAGTTTCTGCTCAAAAAACATGAGTATAGTCAACATAACGTGCACAATTACACGCATGTATACATGTAAACACTTTTCTACCTATGACAGCAATAAATATTATAGGGGAGGTGTAATTTATGTGCACTCATTCATGCGTACATTCATAAAATACTGACCGTGATTGCAGCACTGATTTACTGATATTTACGCACCTAATGATAATAGTAATGAATGCCTAAAAATGTGTTGGAATGATCGGAAAACCCATGTGAAAGGACCCATAGACAAATTTGTTTTTGTTACTCAGCCACCACAGGCATACTTAGTGGACTATTAATTGAATATTATTAACTAATTTGGGTATTGTGATTTTCTTTAGAATGTAATTGGAAGAAGTGATTCACTTAGAAGAAGCCATGGCCTGACTGCCGGGCAATGCACATGATAATTTTAATTTGTCTGTGCCTCTGACATTAAGAATATATTATTGGCCAACTACTGTATATTCTGCTTTACAAATTTATTGTGTTTTAATTTTTAAACCTTATATCAATATTGTTTAATAAAAATATTTTCATCGCCTTTATCATGTCAAACTTTAATCCTGACCTTGAAGAATTAGCTTTTTTTTAAACTTACATTGGTTCAGCTTGATTACACATCTCTTTCCATCTTGGCATATTGAATGAGAGGGAGAGGAGAGCACATAACGTTGCATTTACCATCTCGTCTATTTAGAAAATGCCTTGTAGTCACTGAAAAAGACAGACATTCTCAGAATGATGGAGGTGCCAAGTGAGTGACCCCGTGTGTTCATTATACAGATGGAAAGTCGCTCAAGCAGCAACCAGAAGAGACCAACATTGACTGTATGTAGCAAAGGCTGATACAGTCAATTTCTGCATGCCTGGCAGCTCTCTGGATGTGACATATGAGGATTAGATATAACCAAGCCTGGACAAGATCATTCTGGAAGTTAATTTTTTACTGTAAACTTGCAAATTTGGTGGTTAAAAATATGCAATCAAAAAATAAAAATTTTGACTTTGGTAAAACTAAGTGAATTTTTACAATAAATAAACAAAACGTGAACTGCACTTATGGCTCTACACAACCAAAACAACAACAAACTATAATTACTGGTGCAGCTGTTCATGTATAATACACTAAATTTAACTATAAGTAAACTACCGTATTTTTCGCTCCATAAGACGCACCTGACCATAAGACGCACCTAGGTTTTAGAGGCAAAAAACAGGAAAAAAAAATTCTGAACTAATGGACTGCAGACATAGTACAGGAGATGACCAGAGACTGCGGACATAGTACAGGAGATGACCAGAGACTGCGGACACAGTTCAGGGGATGACCAGAGACTGCGGCCCAGTACAGGAGATGACCAGAGACTGCGGACACGGTACAGGAGATGACCAGAGACTGCGGACACGGTACAGGAGATGACCAGAGACTGCGGACACGGTGCAGGAGATGACCAGAGACTGCGGACACGGTGCAGGAGATGACCAGAGACTGCGGACACGGTGCAGGGGATGACCAGAGAATGCGGACACGGTGCAGGGGATGACCAGAGACTGCGGACACGGTGCAGGGGATGACCAGAGACTGCGGACACGGTACAGGGATGACCAGAGACTGCGGACACGGTACAGGAGATGACCAGAGACTGCGGACACGGTACAGGGGATGACCAGAGACTGCGGACACAGTACAGGGAATGACCAGAGACTGCGGACACAGTACAGGGATGACCAGAGACTGCGGACAGCACAGGGATGACCAGAGACTGCGGACAGCACAGACAGGATGACTGCGGACAGCACAGGGATGCCAGAGATTGCGGACAGCACAGGGATGACCAGAGACTGTGGATAGTACAGGGGATGACTGCTGACCTTTGGGGAGGGGGGGGAGCGGGTACCTGAATTTGACAGATACCCGCTCCCACTTCTGCGGAGTTGTTCTTTCATCTTACCCGTTCCTCTATCCAGCCGCGCGCTGTCTTCCCAGCTTCTGTAATGGCGCTCGCCATGACAGCCAGGTGCCCAGTGCGCATGAGCGATAAGCACTTGCGCTTTGTGATTGGTCCGGCGGCTTCTGGGATCTGTCATGTGTCCCAGGTGCCGCCTTACCATTCACAAAAAGCACCGCTTCCTGCGCATGCGCACTTGGCACCCGGCTGTCATGCCCACACTACAGAAGCCGGGAAGACCGCGCCGCTGGATAGAGGAACAGGTAAGATGAAAGAACAACTCCACGGAAGTGGGAGCGGGTATCTCTCAAATTCAGGTACCCGCTCCCCCCCCTCCCCAAAGGTCAGCAGTCATCTCTATAAGGTCCCGCTGTAGAGCTGAGCGGCCGGCCCGGTATTCTGACACGGCGGCAGTGGAAATACCGGACCGGCCGCTCCATATTCGCTCCATAAGACGCACTGACATTTTCCCCCCTTTTTGGGGGGAAAAAAGTGCGTCTTATGGTGCGAAAAATACGGTATATTACTAAACAGAAATATATTTATATACAGTGCTTTAATCTACAGTGTCCTTCCAAAAGTTCAAATAAACCTTCAAATTCATAATATACGTGTCAATTCTTCTTAAAAGAGCTCTGTGCTCAAAAGGATAAATAAAGTGACAAGTGCTTTTTTTGAAAAAAAATGTGCTTTTAAACAGTGCTCCTCTTGTGATGACCCCCTTAGTGACCACACTCACCAGATTTGGTGGACTTCTTGCTTTCGCAATAGAGTCAAAATACGCTTTATCTGGTGGTTGATATTTCTTTCTTTCTTTTTTTTTTTTATAAATATTTATTAATTTTTTTCAGGTCAAATACAAATCACTTTGACATTTCTATTAAAATAATTATCAAAACAGTATCTTCCACCTTACATTATTTATTTATAACTTCACTCTCTTCCCTTTCCCCCCTCCCATACTCCCCCACCTCAATCCCCCTATCCCCTCCCCACCCCCCCCCCCCCCCCCCCCCTCCCACGCTCTATGTTTTCTCTTCTTTCCTTTACTCCATGTATTTCTGTTATTTCTAAATCCAATTGCAGGATATTACATCTTCATATATTTCACCTTTTCTCTATACTCTTCCCAGCCTTTCCATTTTATATTATACATCTCCAACTTGTCCACATGCGTATAGTACAGTCTTTCTGTCCCAGCGATCTGATTTACTCTGCCCATCCAATCCTCCTCAGTTGGCACCTCTCTTTTCTTCCAAAACCTAGGTATCAGGCTCTTTGCTGCGGTCAAATAGTGCCATATCCCCGAACTCTTGTATGCTTTCACTGGGAGTTCTGAGATATGGAGGAGACATAATTCTGGATCTAATCCTATATTGATTTTAGTGATTTTCCCTATCAAATAAACTATCCTCCGCCAAAACACCTGTATCTCTGAACACTCCCACCACATATGATACCACGTGCCCACCTCTCCGCAACCTCTCCAACACATCCGTGAAATTTCCGTATTCATCTTGTGCTCCACATAAGGGGTAATGTGCCATCTAATCAAACACTTATAATTTATTTCTACTTCCCTCATACTAATATATTCGTGAATTAATGTGAGCATTTTCCTCTGCTCCTCCTCCTCTATTTCTCTTCCCATGTCTCTTTCCCATTTCTCTATGTGCATTAATTTTGTGTCAGTGTCAAGTTCCGTTAATATCTTGTGTATTTTTGCAATTCCGTGTCTACCATTTCCCCGTGTCTCGAATATTCTCTCAAATGGATTCCACTCTTTTCTAGTTCTTTTAGGCTTTGGAAGGCTCTCAAAGAAGTGTTTCAGTTGGTAATATCGTAGTCTATCCAACTTATTAAAGACTTCTCCCTTTTTTTCCTCCATATCCTTATATGATCCAAATTCTTCCCCTACCATTATATCTCTCACTTGCGCCTCTTGTTTTATAATCCATTTCCCTGCGATACTATCCTTACCCGGGATGAAATATTTTGTGTTCCTTAGTGGGATTAATTGTGAATTAAAAGCCCATCCCTTTTGTCTGTGTAGTAAATCCCATTCTCTTAAAACATTGAGGGTGTACGTGCTAGTGCTATCCTCTAATCCCCTATATTGTGCGGGTAACCCAGATACTTTTACTTAAACTTATTCCACTCAGTGCTTTCTCAATTTTGACCCAACTTTTCTCAGGATTGTGAATCCAGTCGAAGATTCTCGCGATAATCCCCGCTTTGTAGTATCTCCTAAAATCTGGTACCCCCAATCCTCTTTCTTTACTTCTATTCAGCGTTTCATAACCTATTCTAGGCTTTTTATTTCTCCATATATATTTTATTATCATTTTTCTGAGTTCTTTAAAATATGCTTCTGGGAGTTTGATTGGGATCATTTGAAATTTGTATAATATTTTGGGAACAATTACCATCTTTATCAGGTTTATGCTACCTATCCACGATGGATTTCCAGTTTCCACTCTCTTTAGCTCCTCCTTAATCTCATTTAATAATGAAATATAATTGGCTTTATATAGGTTCTTAATTGAGGCTGATAGTTTTATTCCTAGGTATTTTAATTCTTTATCTCTCCAAACAAAAGGGAATTCGTCTTGTAGTTTTTCTTTTTCGCTATTTTTAAGGTTTATATTTAAGATTTCGGTCTTTGTCGGGTTAATTCTCAAATTTGACAGTTCCCCATACTCCCTCAATGCTTTCATTAAATTTGGAAGTGATGTTCTGGGGTTTCCAACATAAAACATCAGATCGTCCGCATAAGCCACTACTTTATGTTCTCTGTCACCTATCTTTATTCCTTTTATGTCTATGTTCTTCCTAATCATGGACAGTAAGGGCTCCAATGATAAAACATATAACAGTGGGGATAATGGACATCCCTGACTTTACCGTTTGACATCTTAAAGTGTTCCGATCTTCCTCCATTTACCATTATGGCAGCGGTAGGCCCTCTGTATAACTCTCCAATCCACCCTCTCATTCTATCTCCCATTCCTAACGCTTCCAGGGTGTCCATCATAAAACCCCAACTTACTCTGTCAAATGCTTTCTCAGCATCTATCGACATCAGTATCATTGGGGTTTTCCTTTTTTTGCCCTCCTGTATAAGCAACAATGATCTCAAAGCATTATCTCTGCCTTCTCTTCCTGAGACAAACCCCACCTGATCTCCATGTATCCACTCCGGCATCAGTTCTTTCAGTCTATTTGCCAAGACCTTTGCATATATTTTAGTGTCTACATTCAACAGCGCTATTGGTCTATAGCTCGCACATTGCGAGGGGTCTTTATCTTCCTTCTGTATCAATACTATATTAGCCTGTAAGGATTCTCCCCTTATCTCCAACCCATTTCCCAAAGCATTCATATAAATCTTCAGCTTGGGTATTAAAAGCTCTTTATATTTTTTATAGTATTTAACCATATACCCATCCGGACCCGACTTTTCCCTCCTGCCATGCTTTTTAACGCTATTTTTATTTCCTCTGAAGTTATTTATGCATCTAAAGAGTTCAATTGTGTTTCACTTATTTTCGGTAGGCCTGCCTCCTCTAGGTATGTCTTTCTTTTCCCTCTGTTTACTATTTCCATTTTCTTTAACATATCCTGAGGTGTGATATTATACAGCTCATTATAATACTCTTTAAATATTCTAGCAATATCCTTGGTTGAGTGTACAAATTCCCCCTTAGGATTTCTTATTTTCTCAATATAATTTCTATTTTTCTTCTTTCTTAAAGTTCTCATTAAATACTTTCCCAGCCTATCTCCCCATCTATACCTTTTCACTTATTATTTTATTAAAGACTCTTCTTTTTTCCTCCTCCATTACATTCTCTAATTCTTCTTTCTGCTGCATTATCTCCTTAGACCTTTCTCTTTTATGCACCTGTTCAAGATCATATATTTCATTTAATAATCTATTTACCTTTTCTCTCCTTTCTTTTTTTTTTTTTTTGCCCCTATTGCAATGAGTAGACCTCTAATGTAGGCTTTATGTGCTTCCCACACCGTTGCAACCGACACATCCTCTGTTTCATTCTCTTCAAAAAAAACATTCAATTTCCCTCTCAATTCTTTGGCCGATCTCTTCATCCATGAGAAGTGCCTCATTCATCCGCCAAACATACCCTTCTCTCTCCTCTCTACCCCATCTTAACTTCATTGAAACTGGGGCATGATCCGACAGGGTACTTCCTCCAATTTTTACCCCCACCACCAACTCTATCATTTGATGTTCTACAATATGTAATCCAGTCTAGAATAAGTCTCATGTACGTGTGAAAAGAAAGTATAGTCTCTCTCCTTCATATTCCTAATTCTCCATATGTCCACCAGTTGACACTCATGCATCAATTTCTTTAACGTTCTCAAGGACCTGCTTTCCCCCCTCCTCACACAGGAAGTGGTGTCCATCCGCGGGTCCATGCAGATGTTAAAGTCTCCCGCTAATATCATACACCCCCTTTTAAAGTCCATCAATCTCTTCAACACTTCTCTCAAAAACATCTCCGGCCTCTTATTTGGACTCTTATATGTTTGCTATTGTACACTCAATTCCCTGTAATTTACCTCTCAAAAATAAAAATCTTCCCTCCAGATCCGTTAATCTCTCCTCCACCTCAAACCTTATATTCTTTGCGAAGCCTATAGCAACCCCTTTTGCTCTTTTGATTGGTAAATCCGCATAAAACCATGTTGGAAAATATCTAGTCTTCAATCTAACCTTTGACTCCATCTCTAAGTGTGTTTCTTGCAGAAATACCACTGAAGATGTTCTGTGTTGTAGTACTTTAAATAACCTGAATCTCTTCCCTGTACAGCTTAACCCTTTTACATTGTAGGTTATATATTGGATTTCTTCCATCTTACTCTTCTCCTCCTAACTCCTTCCCTTCCTCTTTCGTATTCCTATAGAGAGTTATTATCCCACTGCACTTTTCCCTCCCCTTATCCCTCCCCCCCCCTCTCCCAGTAGTACCCTCGATCTCTTTCCTCCCCCTCCCTTCCAATCCCCTCCCTCCCCACCACTCCCTCCCCCCCCCCCCCTTTTTAGGCCTTCGATTTGCCTAACAATCATTTGTGGAGATAATATCCACCTTTGATTTGATCCTTAGGGCTACACTCCTCCCATGGACAACTTCCCCTCTATCCGAACCCCCCATTGACCCCCATTCTACATATACTTCTCAGAAAAAGGAATTAAGCTGGAGGCGTGAGGGAAGAGAAGGCGAAGGAGGAGGAGCAAGGAAGGAGAAAAAAAAAAAAAAAGGGGGTAGCTGGCCGTCCGACGAATCGATATCTCTCCTGCTCCCTGTCAGCCTCCAGCCGGCCGGCTTCCCTGCCTCCCAGGGATGCACCGCGACTGGTCACGTGTCCCGGCCGCGCCTCCTCGTCTCCCGGCAATCAGGCTCAGCGTCCCAGCCTCTCACCACTGCTTTCCAGCTCCCCGGCTCTCCCTCCCGTGGGCCGCTGCTCATCCGAGGGAGCCCGTCAGGCCGAGGTAAGTCTCAGCCTTCTGGAGCTCCATACATCTAGGGGGATTTGAGGCCAAAGGGGGGTCGGTCAGAGGAGCCTCGTGCGAGAGCTCCTACCACGAGCTCTCCGCCACCGCCATAGTCAGGCTCCCCCCCCCCCCCCCTGTGTAGCATCTTTACTGTTCAGCTCGATATTTCTTTCCTTTTATCTTCCTACCGCTGATGAGTTATTTCTTCAAGCCATATTCTTAATATTGAATATCCTGCACACTCGTGGAAACCAAGAGGAAAGAGGATGCCCCCATAGTATAATACTGTTTTTATTATGGAAAAAAAAATATCTCAAGTATTGCACTTACAATTGCATTAAAATCAATAGCCTTGGTAACAATATGTTAAAAACCTGCCAGGTGAGCAAACATGGTGTCGGATCTCCGCTGTCCACGTGCATTCCACGGACAGGATGTGATGTCACCGGAAATCAGAAGCTCAATCTAACATGTTTCACCCCTCCCATGGGGCGTCTTCAGAGACTGTTTCTGAAGACGCCCAGTGGGAGGGGCATAATGCGTTAGTCGGAGCTTCCGGCTTCTAGTGACGTCACATCCTGTCACTGGAACGCACGCAGACAGCAGCGATCTGACACCATTTTTGCTCGCCTGGCAGGTATATTTCTGTTTAGTAATTGAATTTTTAATATAACATGGGTTCCTTGCTATAGATGTACTCAAGCTTGTTTTCCAATTAACTATATAACCATATTTTACTTGTTCTTAGGTACGTGTTGTTTGCTCTGCTGACACTCCTTTGCAAAGCTTGTTCATGCAAAAGCTTAAGGATGCCGATGATGCAGAGTCTAGAGTTCTTTTAGATGATCTTGAATTAAGCCAGGTATACTTCACTTGTGCATATTACAACCTTTTTTTTTACTCTTGTAAACCTTTGTTTTAAAAACTTCTCAAATGGTAATTAGAAGTATCAAAGTAAATGCTAGAAATTAGTAATGACTATTGGCTAAAAACATTCTGAATATTGGAATACTAGAGGAATATGAAAATATATAGAACAAAACTATTGTAGTAGGATTTAATGTCAATAGGGGTGGTTCTATTAACCATAAGTGTCAGGGGTCAGACTCTGACACCAGTAGCTATAGCAGTAGACAGGCTCTCACCAACCAGCTAAATAAGTAGCAGTAGCAGGTTACCTTGGTGGACGACATGGGCTCACCTGAGGTGCGGAGTCTAAGCATTAGACTGTTCACCAGAGGCCCTGATGTTGGAGATAGGTTTTGCTGTGTGTTAGTACCATGTCGCAGTTCTCAGGATTGCCCCACCAGGAGATGAGCAAGCCGAGGTCCATTAGCAGATATAGCAGGTAGGGATCAAGCAGAAGCGTATAAAGCAAACAAGCCAAAGGTTGGTAACAGATAGTCGCTCTTTGGGATCAAGCATAAGCATAGACGTGGAACAAGCCAAAGGTTGGTAACGAGTGGTAGTGGAGATACAGATGGCAGCAGGAGTGACAAGAGCAAGATATTGGCTGGAGAGAGCGTAATAATCTAGCAAACAGCAAATGCAAAGGCCTTGCTAAAATAGGAAGTGGGAGGAGCAAAGGGTTCAAGATTAAAGAGAAACAGAATTCCAGGCAAGATCGTTCAAGAAATTGTCCAGTGGGCTGTCCAGCATCCCAGCAGGCTCAGCACGAAGAGACCTCGCCAGACATAGCAGAGGTCGGGACCTGGGTCCTGAGAGTAAGGTGTGATTGTGGGAATGTTAAAGCTGAACACCAAGCAGAAATAAAAGAATTAAGAGGAAAAGGAAGGAGGGAGGAGAGCAGAGTGAGCTGTGTGAACTCAGTCAAACAGAGGAGAGGCAAGGAAGTGGATCCACCAGATTGTCCAGAGAAGACTATAGCCCCTCCCACAGGAAATTAACTCTATTTTAACGGAAAGGGTGCAATTCTCAGAGGGCTTGGAAGATTTTTAGATATTAGCAGCTCACATAGAATAGGTGTAAGCTATAAAAAGGAAACCTGTACTTTAACTGTGGCAGACAATAATCAGGTCTACTGTCCTGCCAGACAGGGCTGTGTTGTGTGGCAGAGCTGTGTAAATCTCTAGACTGGATTTACAGAAACACATCCTTATAGGCATTTCATCTGTGGATTTAGTTGTTTGTCTTGATTTCATTTTTAATACGTGGAAGAATTTGTGATAACAGTGATAAAATCAGTGATTGAGAAGTTTTCCCTACTAGCCTACATTGTGCCTTATGCAGGCCATAGACGGGTCGTTTATCGGGCAAATTTTCGTCCGCACGAAAAAATCGGGCAAGTGGGGCAATATCATCGGCCGTTTTTCGCAGATCTTCTCGTTTACTTTTATCAGTCATGCTGGAAAATCCACGAAAAACGGCCATTTTTCATGGACATTGGTGGCAGCATCGCTGCCAGCAACGACCGATTTTTTGTTTATCGGCCGAAAATTCGGCCGATAAATGGCTGGTCTATGGCCTGCCTTAATAATATCAAATATTTTAAATGTCCATACAATTGCATTTTTAAAGTCTAATCTACACCTTATACTTTCATTGTGTTGATTGCAGGATGCATCTGCAGGATTGTCGTTTTTTACAGGTGAAGAAGAAGTCTTTGCATTTCAGCGTACATTATCTCGACTTACAGAGATGCAGACCGAACAGTATTGGAGAGATGGAGACAGAAGTCAAAATTAATTATGACAACATGGCAAGGCAATGCGATAAATGCACAGTACATCACTTTATGAGATGACATTTCTCTGGAAGTGTACATCTTTGCTGAAATTGCACAACAACCTCAGGACCATTATTTAATGTAACTTTAATTTTCATCCTCTGTGCTGCTTTCTGCTAGCTCTGCTGTGCTCTGGTCTCTAATTGAGCAGGTCATATATTGAGTTTGATCTATGTGTGGCATGACCCAAGATACAAAGGTGTCCAGTATTATTTTACTATTTATTGTGGCCATATGTGCCATTTATATGATGAACCCATCCATGAAGAAATGATTGAGGATTCTTATTGTGAGAAAAATGTAGAGTACCTGAGTTTAATGCAATCAGCAAGAGCTGCTCTATTTAATGTTGAAGTGTTCAGAATGAGAGGTATCCACACAGTATGTAGTTTAATACATGTGTCACAATATTTGTTTGCTTACAATTGACACTTGAGAGGTGCTATCTCTTAGAATGTAACAGAAATACATTTAATGCCAAAGTGAGGAAAAAAATTAGGTTTAATACATGGGGCTATATATTACTGCAGGTCAGTACACACATACTACACAAGTCTTTTATTCCAAGTTATCACTACAGCTCAGTTTCAGTTTGTGTTTTATGTGCCACAAAGCCATCACTTTTGTTCATGTTACTAATGGCTTAAAGCCCAAGCCAAACTCTGGCAAAGAAAGAAAAGTTATATTGGCCAGTACTTTGTAAAATCTAAAAACAACTTTGGCTGCAATGTTCGCCTTCCCTCTGGTGCTGCCCCCCTCATACTCTGGCACTCGCCAATCCAGTGCTGCTCCTCTTCCAAACTAAAGGACATCCAAAGTCATTCAACTCATCTTTTCCTGATAGTCTATGGAATCAAGGGTCCAACCCGGACTCAGGTGAAGGCTGCAGACAGCAGAGCCATGTCATTACACAGCATTTATGATCTACTCACCACCAGGTGAAGCAATTGTTGAGAGGACCTGAGACTTCACTGGACCAAATATACCTAAAAATATGGTATGCATATATATATTTTTTTTAAAGAGAATGCTCCAGGGGGAGGAAGCCATGTTGTCTTCCTTTTTTTTTCATAATGTGCAAGCAAATTCATTTTGCTTTTACCTTTGCTAAAATGTTTATAATAGCAGTATACTGTATATAGCATGCAAATGAGGGAAATGCTTGAAAAAGCATCAAGGCCACAACAATTATAAATAAATGCAGTGATGGTTTGTAATACCATGAATAATAATTTACACCAGCCTAATATTAAATACCATAAACCACCTATTTGCATTAAATAAAACTGTAAGATCGGTATATGGGCACTGCCATAGACAGCCTTCTGAAAACTCTTAATTGTCTGACCTATGGTTTCACAAATTGGAGTCACTCACTTGGAACTATTCAGCATGCTAGTAATATAAGGAAAGAGCAGTTTCACTCCCAAAAAAAATTAAAATGCTGCTAAACTTTAATCATGTGCATAACATGAACAGAGAGTCCTTGTCTTGGACCTCTAAAACTGACATGTTTCACACACAAGGCTGGGCTTAACCATCGAGGTGAGGAGGAGCAGGTAGGGAGAAACATACAGTATATACACAGTGGGGGATACAGTGGATATAAAAAGTCTACACACCGCTGTTAAAATGTCAAGTTTCTGTGATGTAAAAAAATGAGACAAAGATAAATCCTTTCAGAAGTTTTTCCACCTTTAATGTGACCTATAAACTGTACAACTCAATTGAAAAACAAACTGAAATCTTTTGGGGGAGGGGGGAGAGTAAACATAAAAAACTAAAATAATGTGGTTGCATAAGTGTGCACACCCTCTTATAACTGAGGATGTAGCTGTGTTCAGAATTAAGCAATCACATTCAAAATCATGTTAAATAGGAGTCAGTACACACCTGCCATCATTTAAAATGCCTCTGATTAACCCCAAATAAAGTTCAGCTGTTCTAGTAGGTCTTTCCTGACATTTTCTTTATCGCATCTTACAGCGAAAACCCATGGTCTGCAGAGAGCTTCCAAAGCATCAAAGGGATCTCATTGTTAAAAGGTATCAGTCAGGAGAAGGGTACAAAAGAATTTCCAAGGCATTAGATATACCATGGAACACAGTGAAGACAGTCATCATCAAGTGGAGAATATATGGCGCAACAGTGACATTACCAAGAACTGGACGTCCCTCCAAAATTGATGAAAAGAGGAGAAGAAAACTGGTCTGGAAGGCTGCCAAGAGGCCTACAACAACACTGAAGGAGCTGCAGGAATATCTGGCAAGTACTGGCTGTGTGGTACATGTGACAACAATCTCCCGTATTCTTCATATGTCTGGGCTATGGGGTAGAGTGGCAAGACGGAAGCCTTTTCTTTTGAAGAAAAACATCGAAACCTGGCTAAATTTTTAAAAAAACAAATTTGAAGTCTCCCAAAAGCATGTGAGAAAATGTGTTATGGTCTGATGAAACCAGGGTTGAACTTTTTGCTCATAATTTCAAAAGATATGTTTGGCGCAAAAACAACACTGCACATCACCAAAAGAACACCATACCCACAGTGAAGCATGGTGGTGGCAGCATCATGCTTTGGGGCTGTTTTTCTTCAGCTGGAACTGGGGCCTTAGTCAATGTAGAGGGAATTATGAACAGTTCCAAATACCAGTTAATATTGGCACAAAACCTTCAGGCTTCTGCTAGAAAGCTGGACATGAAGAGGAACTTCATCTTTCAACATGACAAAGACCCAAAGCATACATCCAAATCAACAAAGGAATGGCTTCACCAGAAAAAGATTCAAGTTTTGGAATGGCCCAGCCAGAGTCCAGACCTGAATCTGATAGAAAATCTGTGGGGAGATCTGAAGAGGACTGTGCACAGGAGATGCCCTCACAATCTGACAGATTTGGAGTGTTTTTGCAAGGAAGACTGGGCAAATATTGCCAAGACAAGATGTGGCATGCTGATAGACTCGTACCCAAAAAGACTGAGTGCTGTAATAAAATCAAAAGGTGCTTTAACAAAATATTAGTTTAAGGGTGTGCACACTTATGCAACCATATTATTTTAGTTTTTTTATTTTTACTTCCCTCCACCTAAAAGATTTCAGTTTGTTGTTCAACTGAGTTGTACAGTTTATAGGTCACATTAAAGGTGGAAAAAGTTCTGAAATGATTTATGTTTGTCTCATTTTTTTACATCACAGAAACCTGACATTTTAACAGGGGTGTGTAGACTTTTTATATCTATATTTATGTACTAAAACTGGAGGGTGAAAAATCTGGTGTAGCTCTGCATAGAAATCAGTTTCCAAGGTTTATTGTCAAAGATTAAATGAACAAACGTAACCATTTGCTGCCTAATCACTACATGTACATAATTGGCTTCAAGTGGTTATACCGGAGTTATGGCTGCAGCTGTATGCCATAACCCCAGTATTTTTTGTTTTTAGACAACGGTCTTTCATCTAAAAGCAATTCTAGTGGCTAATTAGCCATTGGATTGCTTTTACAGGCGGAGGGAGTGGACGTCCCCCCATCCCACTGCCTCGGGGAGTCCGGCATCCGATCCAGCAGTACAGCTGGGTTGTCATAGAGCTAAATTTTTAAAATGTTTAAAGAGCCCTGTCCCCCCATGCTTGTGTGCAGTGGAGAATGCTTATGGATTGGTTTACAGGTGGCGGGAGGGGACATCCCCCCATCCCACTGCCTCGGGGAGTCCAGCATCCAATCCAGCAGTACAGCTGGGTTGTCGTGGAGCAAAATTTTTGAATTTTTTAATGAGCCCTGTCCCCCCATGCTTGTTTGCAGTGGTGAACGCTTATGAAGGTTACATAGGCATATGTAAACGATGTTCGCATCACACATGTGAGGTATCGCCACGAGCGTTATAGTGCAAGCAATAAATCTAGCACTAGACCTCCTGTGTAGCTCTAAACTGGTAACCTGTAAACATATTTAAAGTGTCGCCTATGAAGTTTTTTAAGTATCATAGTTTGACGCCATTTCATGAGCGTGTGCAATTATAAACAGCGAAATGTTGGGTATCTATTTACTCAGCATAACATCACCTTTTATATTTTACCAAGAAATTGGATTATATATTATGGGGTTTTTTGCATTAAAACTCATTAAAGTGTATTTTTTCTCAAACAAATTGCGTTTGAAAAACTGTTGCACATGTACTGTGTGACATTAAAAAAATTTCAATGACCACCATTTTATTCTTTATGGCCTCTGCTAAAAAAATATATAATGTTTGGGGGGTAAGTAATTTTCTAGCAAAAAAATGCTAGAAATTACTTTCAAACAAACAGAATAGGCCTGGTCTTCAAGTGGTTAAGTTAGAAGCTGATTGGCTACCATACACAGCTGCACCAGATTCTGAGTGATCCAGTTTTAGTAAATCTCCCAATGTAATTAGTATTTGTTGGCATTTAAAACAACAGCCACATGTATTCTTAATTATATCCCTCTAACACGGGGCTATGCAGTATCCTCTCTAAGTGTAAACCAAGAAAAGGTAAAGATAACATACCTGCTAAAAAATGTTTACAGTTTAAAATAAAGTAGATAAAACATATATTGCAGTTTCATCACCATGAAAACATTTTCCGAGTGCAGGTCCCAACTTTCTGAGATGAGAAAGAGTATATACATAAAGGACACACCCCTGACATACCCTAATTACTCAGACCTTGAAGTGTTATTAAACCCAGGACCTTGCATTCACTATATCTGGTCTCCCACAGTACACAGAATATGGAAATGCATTTATTTTAGTAAATATAAACTGATAAATACCTTTTCTCATCAGCAGTTAGAGCAGTCTTGTAACTTCTATCAGTGTCCAGCAGAGCACTGGTTAAAGCTTGTAGGAGTTTTCATTCTCCCCTGATTGTCCTATGAGGCTGCAGGTCCCCTGACTCTCTGCCTGGACAGGCAGATTGGCCCTGTGCTGATCACATGCACTCTTC